TGAGAGAGAGAGAGAGAGAGAGAGAGATTGAGAGAGAGAGATTGAGAGATTGAGAGATTGAGAGATTGAGAGAGAGAGAGAGAGAGAGAGAGAGAGAGAGAGAGAGAGAGAGAGAGAGAGAGAGAGAGAGAGAGAGAGAGAGAGAGAGAGAGAGAGAGAGAGAGAGAGAGAGAGAGAGAGAGAGAGAGAGAGAGAGAGAGAGAGAGAGAGAGAGAAGAGGGGGGGGGGGGGGAGAGAGAAAAGAAAGAGAAGAAGAAAAAAACAAAAAAATAGATAAACCACTCCTGGAATCCTAATACTAATGACATATATTTATTCTTTTCAGATCTACAAGTGTAACCTCCTCATCGACTTCGTAAAGGTTAGTCTTAGCTTCGGTATTTCCCTTTTGCTGCTTCTACTTCTTCATTCTTCTTCTTCTTCTTGTTTTTCTTCTTCTTCTTCCTCTCCTCCTCCTCGTCTTCCTCCTCCTCCTCCTCTTCCTCTTTTCCCTCCTCCTCCTCGTCTTCTTATTCTCTCTCCTCCGCCCCCTCTTACTCTCCTCTTCCTCTTTTTCTCCTCCTCCTCTTCCTCTTTTTTCCTCCTCCTCCTCTTCCATCTCTCGTTCTCGGGTTCTCTTCCTTTTTCCTCTTCTTCTTCTTCTTCTTCCTCTTCTCTCCTTCCTCCTCCGCCTCCTCCTCATCTTCTCTTCTTCTTCCTCTTCCACCTCCTCTTCTCTCCTTCCTCCTCATCTTCTCTTCTTCCTCTTCCACCTCCTCCTCTTCTCTCCTTCCTCCTCCTTCTCCTCCTCATCTTCTCTTTTTTCTTCCTCTTTCACCTCTCCTCTTCTCTTCTCTTCCTCCTCAATCCCTCTCTCTCGTTCTCGGTTCTCTTCCTTTCCGATCCAGTTTGATCATGGTCGAAGAAGACTAGGAAGGGCGTAGACGAAGAAAGATCCAAGTGGGAGTGAGTGAGTAATGAGTCATATGGGTAATGAATAAAATGACTAATGATATGAGTTAGTAATGAGTTGAAATGCGTAATGAGTAAACTAGGCAATAGGTTCAAGTGAATAATGGGTTAAAGTGAGTAATGAGTCAAGTGAATATTGATTAAAATGCGTTATGAGTCAAGTGAGGAATGCTAGTGCTCGTGCTGTTAGTGAGATGAGTGATTGTGATGAAAATTGAAACTCCTGACGCTGTGATTATGTTGAGATGATTGATAGTGGTTATGCGGTGATATAGTATCATGATTAATGAAAGTGGTGTTGTCACTATCAACATAAATATCAATGTCATTGGTATTGCAGAGCGAAATCGAAAGGTCGCAGCGCCAGAAGAACGCTTATATATATTTTTGTTAAGTGTCCCCTGTGACCGTTTTCTGTTTTTGGACCCCATTTTCTGTTGTCGTGAGTCTCGACCGAGGGGAAAGCACAATGGGTAATAAATGCAATAATTTAATGAAAGGAATCATTATAATAGAGAATTGATATAGTGACATTTAACAATATGGTAAGAATGCCTTGTCTGTAAGGAATTTATGTAACGTAGGTTTGTTTGACAGGAATTTTGAATACCGTAATGTTTTATTAAAGTTAATTATTATAATATAAGTAATGGGTATTAACGAGTTGGGCTGTACTTGTGATAAGTAGAAAAAAGTGTTGCGCTCTCACTCTTGTTCTTAGAGTGCCAAAAACAAGTGTGAGTGTGTGTGTGCGTGTGCGCGCGCGCCCGTGAATATGCAGGCGGATACAAGAAACCAAAGAAAGAAAAGAGAGAGAGAAGCGAGAGAGAGAGAGAGAGAGAGAGAGAGAGAGAGAGAGAGAGAGAGAGAGAGAGAGAGAGAGAGAGAGAGAGAGAGAGAGAGAAGAGAGAGAGAGAGAGAGAGAGAGAGAGAGAGAAATTCGAATCAATTTAGCACCGTGGGACTGCCTGGGACGCCATCAAACATGCATCGACCTCCTTTTGTTATTTCTTATACGCCTGGGAAAGCGAACCGAAACGCACGTCGAAAGAGAGAGAGAGAGAGAGAGAGAGAGAGAGAGAGAGAGAGAGAGAGAGAGAGAGAGAGAGAGAGAGAGAGA